GGACTATGCCAAGCCCTGCACCATGCCGGTTGGATGCTCCATCCACAAAGAGCTTCCACATCTCTCCAACGAATAACTTCCAGCACGTGGAGGGGTCAGATGATGTCGTGGGGTCAAGAATGGTGTTTTCTTCAAGGTCCATGCTTGCTGTCTGCCCTTCATCATCTAATTGTACTGTTGGTGAGCCTTTGTTTGTTTCTTCCTTGTTGTCCTTAGTCTGGTCTGCCTTGGAGTTTGATTGAGTACCTTCTACTAGGGTTGCGCTATTTCGGCGTCAACTTCCGTCCCTAGTTCGGCTGTGTCAGTTAGGTCGACTGGGCAGATATGATGACTTCCAGGAGTAAACTCTACGATGAAGTCTGCCAAAGATTGGGCTTTTATTGCGGTCCTGGGTTGGAACTTGATGTCAAATTGTCCCAACTCTACTGGCCACTTCAAAATTCACTCAGAAAAGTTTGCCCTTTTAAACAAAGCTTTCAGTGGAAAAGCTGTGAGGACGACTATGGTGTGGGCGTGAAAGTAGTGTGTCAATTTTCTGGAGGCCATCATCAAGGCTAGTGCCAGTTTTTCCAGTGGCAAATACCTTGTTTCGGCTCCCAGCAATGTCTTGCTGACATAATAGATGGGCAAGTGTTGAATTCCTTCTGCACGAACCAATACTGCGCTAACTGCTTACTGAGAGACTGCCAGGTACAAGAAGAGTTCTTCACCAGGTACTGGGGTAACGAGCAGTGGTGGGGAAGACATATACTCCTTCAAGCTTTCCAGAGCTTGGTCGCATTCTTCGTCCGACTCAAACTTGGCTTTTAAGGCATGGAAAAATGGTCGCAGTCTATCTGACAACCTGCTTATGAACCGGTTGAGTGCAGCTGCCATGCCGGTGAGATGCTGCACTTCTTTTACTGAGTTCGGTCTCTCCAGATCTTGGATTGCCTTGATTTGAGAGGGGTCTGCCTCTATACCTCGGTTGGTCACGAGGAAGCCCAGGAATTTGCCAGATCCTACTCCGAATGCACACTTAGACGCATTGAGGCACAACTTGTGCTTCTTCAGGATCTGGAACATCTCGCCTAGGACCTTAAGATGGTCATTCTCATCCTTGCTTTTGACCACCATGTCGTCGATGTAAGCTTCCATTGTTCTGCCTAACAATGGTTCAAACATTTTGGTGACCATCCGTTGGAATGTCGCCCCTGCGTTCTTTAGGCCAAAGGGCATGACCTTGTAACAGTATAATCCTCTTGGAGTTGTAAAAGATGTGACCTCCTGGTCTGGTTCATGCATGGCGATTTGGTGATAGCCTCTGTATGCATCCAGAAAGCTAAGTCGGTTGTGCCCCGCCGTTAGGTCCACTAGTTGATCTATCCGCGGTAGAGGAAAGCTGTCTTTTGGGCACGCCTTGTTGACTGTTTTGTAGTCGACGCAGACACGCCATTTACCATTTTTCTTTGGCACTACGACTGTGTTGGAGATCCATCTTGGGTAGTGCACTTCTCTAATTGCTCCTGCCTCCAGCAGGTTGCCTACTTCTTCCGC